TGAATACCTGTACAAATATTTTATATTTTTATCCTTTTTTAAGGAAAATTATTCAAATTAAATAAAAATAAAAATCTTTGTATTGAAAAGAATTTCTAAATATTCTAATGCTTTAGCAATTTTTAGAAATCTTTTCTCACTTAGAAAATTTTCGAGAATCACTATTCGAATTTTTCGAACTCCTATCATTGGAATTTTCATTATTTATTAATTTTTACTATTTCATAATTTTTTATATATATTTTTGTTCATTTATTATTTTTTAACACTAATTTTTTTATTTCTTTTTTAATATTTATTTTAAGTATTTAAAATATAAAAATGCATCAATAAATAGTTTTAAATAACTCGAAAAAATTTAAAATTAAAAAATTATCAAAAATCGACTAATCAATGTGGATCAATGGTCTAGGTGTAGTTCAATCGGATTCACAATGGTTCAACTTGCGATTTAGTCAGGTCCAAAATGGTTTGACTAGTTCGCTACTAGTTCATTTAGATCGATTTGGGGTTGGCAGGATTCCTTGGTCTAGGTTGGGCATGCGAACCTTGGGTCTGGTAGGGTGCACGCGCAGATCTTCACCTCTTGAAAATGCATCACTTTGATTTTTCTCTTATTTACTATAAAACTCAAAATTTTTTATTCACTTCATTTCATAGCTTTCTTAAAAAAAAAAATTTTACTTTTCTGAAACAAACCAAAAACACTGGCCAAGCTTCAACGCCAAAATCCAGAACTCGACAACTAATTGTCGTCACCACCACTTCCTTCGTAGCCAACCAGCACTGTTGATGCCGGAATTAGCCTAAATTTCACCTGAATGAAGCCTTTGCCTTCTTCTTCAATCCAACAATTTAGATTTCACTTGAAAGCCTTCTTTTTTGGAAAAAGTTAGAGAAAGCCAAATCCTAAAATTTTGATCTACCACCACCAACCTCTATGATGATAGCCAAACTTTGACTAAGTCTTCCTCCCACCTTTCACTGATTGTCCACTGTTGGGATTCCTCAAAACCCCTTGTAAAGTTGCAAGTCATTTTTGCTGTCACCATCTTTTTTTTATTTTTTTTTATTTTGCTTTAGCGCTAAGGTTTTTCACATTAGGACTACGGTGATTTTTGCTTTATTTTGTTTTTCTTTTTGTTTTTTTTTTTTGGTGGGTTGGTTTTGTGGCTGTGACATGTAGCTATGGGTAATTTTTTTTTTTTAGTTCTTCGGAGGGTTTTCTGTTGATTGAAGGTGTTGGGGTTTTGCTTAGGGTTGTTAGGTGTGACTATGGCTATTGTCGTGGTAGGATCCGGTGAAGTAAGAATGGTTTGTTGGTCTAAAAGGCAGGCTATTGTTGGTGTCAAATGGCTAAAAGAGAGGGTTGTTTAGGTTCAAAGCAGTGGAAAATGGTAAATGGGTAGGGACTATGCTGGGGAACGAGCAGAGGGTCCGGTTCCTAGCATGCTTGGGTTTTGGGGTTGTGAATGCTGGGTAAGTAAGACTGATGGTGTTAGGTGGACGAAGGTGGGTTGTTTAGAGTTGGTTTGGTGGTGGTAAGAGGTTGGATCATTTGAATGGAATTGTGAGTAAGAGTGGATGAGGGGCTTGGTGCTATTGCTGGTGCCGGCAAAGATGCGGGCAAGGGCCAATAGTAGGTTGCAGGGCTATGTTGGGATTGGTACTGGGAAAGTGCTAGTGTTGGGTGTAAAGGCTGACCTATTGGATGCAGGGAAAAATGGATGTTAGAACCTTCCCTGTCTAAATGGGTTGATGGTTTTTTAATCCTTTATAGGTTGCAACAATCCAAAATGTTTGATAGCTCCTCAGAACTGTAGCTGATGGCCAACAGGGTAGTGGAGCAAGGTAATGGCCAATAGGTTTGGGGTAATGGTTGCTGGCAGATCCAGAACTTGTCTTCTGTTGCATTTTTTTTTTCATTTCATTTCTTTTATTTTGTGATTTTCACTTTTTTATTAATTTAATTAATTATAAATAAATAAAAGTAAAAAAAAAATGAACATGAGTTTTAAAACTTAATTTGGGCCTAAATAAATTTAGACTTCTAGTAGGCCTTCAAGACCAAATAATTAAACTATGATTTATAATTGAATTGAATTGAATCAAATTATATTTCGTGTAAAATGATCAAAAACAATTAATCTGAGATAAGCCTTAAATGAGTCAATCCAATTAAAATGCTTCAATTAATCTAAATTAAATTATTTGAATCAAATGTAAAAATTAAACAAAAGTTGAATTGATTCGAACAAAATTAAATGTTTACATACTCTTTTTCTTTTTTTGTTTTCTTTTCAATTTGAGATAATTGAAAAATGAGGCTTTTGAGAAAAAAGGAGGGTGCTCAGCCCCCCTTTTTTTTTTCTTTATTTTAATTTAAAATAAAAATCAAACAAAGAAAATTTTTTTAATTTTTCTTGTTTTCTTTTCCCTCACTTTCTCTTAATTCAAACCTAAGTTTTAACAGATCAATCCGCCACCTAACTAATTTATCAATTTAACAATAATCCTTCCCAGAAAATATCTTAATTTGTGGGTCATTAACAATTACTAAATCTTTACTTTAAGCATTGTTGAGGTCTAAATCTATCATAGTTAACCTGGATTAGGCCCAATCGAAATATCTACAACATGAAACAATTAGAGGGTGTTGGAATTTGTATTCGAGGTTTTCTTCGACGTGTAAGTCAGTAATCTTCTAAAATATGATTGGATTTCAATTACAGAACATGTAAAATTTATGTTTCTAAGTCAATTTTATTTTTTCACTATTGTAAATAAAGAGTTTAAATTCAGAATGTAGTTAAATTAATTTATATAATTATTTTTAAAAATATGTATTTAACAGATTTGTAATTTAAATTTTAATATTTATAATTAAATTTAATATTCAAACTACAACTTTTTTTTTATCAAAAAAGAAGTCGATTAATTGCAAAATTGAATTTATATGAAGATTTTACAAGATAGATAAGAAAAACAAATTTATATGAAAAAAATTGCTGGGTAGCTATAAAGATTGAAGCCGTGATTACAGAACAGAATAAACGGAACAGATATTAAAAATGGGCAACATGAATCTGTCAGTTAATTTCCAAAAATTGATAAAGAAGAAAAACAAAAGTCTAATAATAATTGAATTAATTGCAACCTTAATGTTTGCCGGCTGCTGCATGGAGTCTTTATATAATTGTCAGGCAATCTTTTTCAATATTTTGACTTTGGTTCAATGCATGCATGAATATATAATTAAGTTTTGATGGCTGGTTTTTTATTGTTTTGTTTAATTTTATATCAAAATATAATTTTTTTCATACTTGATTCCATTTAATTTAGATATGTATAAACTTACAATCGATCTAATTTGGAATTAATTTAATAATTTTAATTTAATATAATATTCATAAAATATTATTTTTAATATAATTATATTTTAATTATATATAAATATAATATTTTTATTAAATTATTATTTTAAATTAAAATATTAAATAATTATTTTATTAATATAATACTTATATATAAATATTAAATTAAATAAATACTAAAAATATTATATATATATATATATATATATTGAATCAAAGCAAGTTTACTTAAAATTGGACACTTATATTAAGAAAAAAAATTCGACCTAATCTGAAATTCAATTAAAAAATTTTATAAAATTATATCAGAGTTCATTAGTTACTGAGTTGAAATATGAGTTTTGAAGTTTGGGTTTGACTCCAAAACAAGGATATCAATGGATAAGGTAAACCATTTCTCATTTCTATCATCGAATTTTTATATTATATCTATCTATGTAACAATAACCAACGGATGTTTTTAATTTATCCACATTCCTATCCTTATAAGAATTTAATGGGTATGAGTGATCTTTATGCTTATAATTTTTAAAAAATAGAAACTAAATTTTATTTTTTTAATATTTTTATTTTTATCTTGTATATTTAGATAATTTTTTATTAATATATATTTTTTAATAAAATATATTAATTCTAATTAATCTAAAATAATAATTTCTATTATTTAAAAAAATATATATTTATTAAATATATAAATATATATAAGGTACAAATACAAGATGGGTGCTATATTACCTGTTCTCATCCCATGTTCAATCAAAATTTAAAATCGTATCCATTTTTATCTTTATATTCACGATATAATATTTATCTTTATCTCCATTTAAATAAAAATTTAAATTTCTCATTAAGCATGGATAAAATTAACATTTCTACTTTAAAATTTATTTTTTATTAAATTATTTTTTAAAATATATTTAATATATTAAAATATTACTCGAAAATATGATTTAGTGGATCTTCAAAATTCAGATTTGAACCTTCAAATTTGAAACAACAAAATTTGAAATTATAAATGTCGGGGAACAAAATATTGACCGAAAATTAGAGTATGGCTAATCGATCTTTTAATATGATGTAAGCACTGACATCTCAAATATGCATTTTTAGCACATTTAATTTTCCCCTTGATTGATCTATCATTGCGGCTATCTTAATTTAAATTTTAAATATTTTTAATTGTTGGGTCTATTTGAGGAAAAAGTATTGTCTTATTCCATATCTATCGCTGTTGGATTTTGCATCCTCGTGATTGGTTTCTGAATCGTTTAAATAACCTTTACTATGAAAAAAAATGCTGCATGTTCCACATAATTCAAATTGGTTTCAGCAGGGAATTACACGCGCTTCCATTTAATTAGTTTTCAGTAAATGAGGAACATATTTCTTTGGATTATTCATTTATTTTGAGTAGAGTCTCGAAGGTTGAGAGTTTAGAAGAGTTTACGTGTGTAATTTATTTTTATTTAAATATAAGGATAGGAGTTTGATAATATATTAGAAGTTAAAAAACATAAAGTGATAGAGTTTCAATTTTAATTATCAATATTTGATATTGAATCTAAAAACTCGCTTAAAATTTGAGAAAACATTTTTTATTTTTGAAAGAAAAGTAATATCATTAATTTAAAAATGGTTTTCATGAAATACAATATCTGGAATATGATCTGGATAACCACCATTCCAGGTCGAGGATTCAAGATTATCCACAGCCATTCTTTCCAACTTATGAGCAGCTCCATTGGCTTCCCGGTCAAAATGAGAGCATGACCAACCCGCCATGTGGTTTAGCATCTTTCTGGTATCCGTCACCAAATTCCAGACCGCAAATAGATTGTTTCCTTGATCTTGGGCCAGTTGAGTTATAAATCCAAGGGCATCTCCTTCCAATATTACTCTTCGAAAACCCAGCATACGAGCATATTCTGCCGCTTTTACAGCAGCCAGTCCCTCTATGATTTCTGGATCTCTAATCCTTGCTGCAGTACTGCACAACGAGCCCAACACCTCTCCTTTGTTATGCCTCGCAATAACCCCTATTCCTGCAATTGTTCTTTCCCTGTTCGATGCCCCGTCAAAGTTAATCTCTACTTCATTTCCTTGAGGTGCTTGCCACTTTCCTGTTCTCAGTACCTTAGCTATCACCTGTCGCTCATGCACACGTTTATACTCCTCCATATACTGGTTCACAAACTCCACTGTACGTTGGCTTCACCTGTCCACGTTGTTTTTCACCACTTGATTCCTATTTCCCTAAATGGCCTAATAAAGCGTAACTACTTTGGCAAGGGACTCCATACTAATGTTGTTCGCCAAGAATGATATCCATTCTTTTGTGACCGAACCTGAATCGTATGCCAACTCTCGTCTGGTTGTAGTCGGTTCCAAACTCCCTGTGCGAATTGACAATCCTTTAATGCATGTAGGGTAGTTTCATCATGCCCTTTACACCTTGGGTACGTCGCATGGACCATTATTCCTCTGCGTTTTAGCTCTTCAAAACCTGGCGGAAAATTATGACACATCCTCCAGCAAAAGACTTTCACCTTACTAGGAACAGATAGTCTCCATATTTTATTCCAGATCGTGGGATCTCCATAATCATTATGGTTATCAGAAACTTCATTCATCTAAATGCTTGCACTATCCCTTGAGGTCAAAAGGTGGTATCCACTCTTCACGCTATAAATCCCAGATTTCATATAGTGCCAAACCCGTCGATTTGGTTGTCCACTTCTGCTACTTAGGATAGCCATAATGTCCTGTACTGTTTCTTCAGAAAACAACTCGTCGAGTTTGTCTACATCCCAATGCAAACCGTCCAGTGCAAATAACTCAAATACTCTTTCAATCCCTTGTGTGTTATTTGTTTTTGACGTGGGTCTGAACCTGTCACCATGTGGTATCCAATTGTCATTCCACACCCGTATGCTTTCTCCATTGCCCATTCGCCACCTCACTCCCATCTCCAGGACCTTTATCCCCATCTATATAGACCTCCAAGGGTAGGACGGTTCCTTGACTACTTTAGCATCAAGGAAGTCAGTTTTAGGGAAGTACTTAGCCTTGAGCACCCTGTAGACTAATGATGAACGTTTTTGCTACAAGCACCAACCCTGCTTTGCAAGCACAGCTTTATTAAACTGCTTCATTTCCCTAAATCCCATTCCACCCTCATTTTTCCCATACACAGTTTTCTCCAGGCCATCCACTGGATCCCTCTCTTCTCATGTGATTGCCTCCACCAATAGCTACTAATGGTCCTATTGATTTCGTGGCATAGTCCCTTCAGAAACATGAAGCAAGACATGGCGTAGGATGACATAGCTTGTAGCACCGATTTAATGAAGGCCTCCTTACCACCTTGAGATAGCCATCTATAGCTTCATTGTCGGATTTTCCTGTCCATTTTTTCCAGAATAGCTTTGAAAGCTCTTTTTTTCCCTCCTACCAACAAACATGGGAAGACCAAGTATTTTTTCGGATTTGTTGTGGCTTGTACCCCAAAAGTGGTCATTATCATCTCCGTGGCATTAGCACAAGTATTTCTACTAAAAAACAATCCTGATTTCTCGTAGTTGATCTATTGCCCCGAACCTTCCTCATATCCCTTTAGCATGTCTCTCACTCTTTTGCATTCTTCCTGGTCTACTTTAAATGAAAGCAGACTATCATCAGCAAAAAATGAGTGATTCGCAGGCCTCTAACACTTACTCTAACTCCATGTATCCAACCATCCCGATTAGACTTGGACAAAAGCGCCGACAACCCCTCTGTACATATCATAAATAGATAAGATGAAAGAGGATCTCCTTGACGAAGACCTCTTTCAAGTATAATTTTGTTAGTCAAATTTCCATTAATAACCACACTGTAGGAAACAGATGTAATACATTTCATAATTAACAATCTCCATCGATGAATAAAGCCTAATTTTTCCATTATGGCATAAAGACAATGCCACTCAACTAGATCATAGGCTTTACTCATATCAAGTTTCAGGGCTATCCAACCATCTCTCCCATTTCTCTTCCTATGCATACTGTACAAGAGTTCATGAGCAATGACAACATTATCCGAGATCAATTAGCCAGGGACAAAAGCATATTGATGCTCATTACAAACAGGAAGAATATGTTTTAACCTATTGGCTAAAGTCTTAGCAATGATTTTGTAGAGAACATTGCATAAGCTGATGGGCCGGTATTGGGTCATTCGCCTGGGATTACTAGTTTTAGGAATGAGATCAATGTGGGTATCATTAATGTCATTCAGGTAGCCATTCCGATTGAGAACATGTAAGCAGAATCAATAACATCAGAACCTACCACATGCTAGTATTTTTGATAGAAAACTACAGGCATACCATCTGGTCTAGAGGCTTTCTTAAGATGAATTTATTTAACAGCTTCAAAAATCTCTTATGCTGTAAACATTGATTGGAGCTTGTTATTCATCTCGTTGGTAATGTAAAGGGAGATTGCTTCTAAGATTGGACCAACTGCCCATTTGTTGTTTAATTTAAACAAATTATTAAAGTAGTTTGGTATTTGCTCAGCCGCGTCCACCTGGTCCTCGTACCGTCTCCCCTTGTCGTCCTCCACCCCCTGGATCCTGTTTAACTCTTTTTCTATTGGATGTTTGAAAGTGAAAATTTTGGTGTTGTGGTCCCCGTCCTTAAGCCAACAAACTCGGGCACGTTGCTTTTAGTACAACTCCTGCTATTCCAAAAAGCCGTTTAACCTTTTTCGAAGCGCCCTCTCTTTGGCCAATCCTTCATCAGTCAAACTTTGCATTTGCATCTCGAGGGTTTCATTCTTTAGCTTTTCTATTGTATTACTGAAACCATGGAATTTAACCCTTCCCCATGCATGCAAACTGTCACGTGTCTCATTCAACTTAGCCACCATTGTCCTATTTGTTTCCTTTCTCCAACAAACAGCCACAAGCTCCTCACTCTCGGCTTTAGTGCCCACATGGCCTCAAATCATTTTTTCCTCCTTCGGGTCAACCCATGTCTCTCTATTTTGGCTCCTTCAGTGTCCACAATGATCTGGCAATGGTCCGAGACTGAACAAGCCAAGTGTCTAACCAAAAAACTTGGAAATTTTGTCATCCATGCTCTGTTTGCAACAGCTTTGTCCAACCTTTCTAGAATATAGTTAGCCACGTTTTTTACTCTCCCTTAGGTGTTCAGATCCTATAAACCCCAAATCATGAAGTTCAGAATCAGTCAGCGTTGAACGAAAAGCCTCCATTTGCCACACCGATCTCGAACCCCACCTTTTTCAGCATCCCACATTATCTCATTAAAGTCTCCCTAGCAAAGCCACTCATGCTCTCTATCCCTTATTAATCCGTGTAACATATCCCATGTGCATGTCTTTCTCTTGTCGTCGGGTTTTCATAAAATCCCGTGATTGTCCATTTTTCCCCCATCAAGTCCTCAATCTTCATATCAATATAATATTTTGAAAAACTCCATAGCTTTAACCTTGCTTCCTATTTTCAAAGCATTGCTAGACCACCCTTCTACTGATTGCATCAACCATAAACATGCCATCAAATTTACATTGTCTCCTTATTCTGTCTATCTTAGTAGTATTAGAGATAGTTTCTGAAAGAAATACCACTTCAGGATCTTCCCTTCCCAGAATGTTCCGAAGAGCTCGAACTACACATGGGTTCCCAAGCCCACGGTAGATCTAGGCTAAGCATTTCGTTGGTATCGGTGGACTGGATACCAGTCTTCGCCGTTTCTTCAGTATTATTCCCCTTGTAGCTTCCTCCATCCTATTTGCCCTTCTTCATTATACCTTCCACCTCTATTTCCTTTGTCTCATTGTTCTCCAGCTTCATTTTCCCTGTCTCCTCTTTTGCAGTTATCATTTCTTTCTTAGTTACCCTAGCTGGTTTTTTCCATTTCTGTCTTGACTGTACCCCTAGGTTTGTATTCTGCCCTATTTCATTGCTCCTAACAGCTTCACTGTTGATTCCTTTCCCATCCCGTTCTTCTGCATCGACATGTCTTATATCACTTCTTTTTGTATTTATTTGGTTTATTAAGGTGTTGAAAATCATTGTATATGGAACCTTGTCATTGCTCCTCCTCTTTGATTCATCATTTGGGCTAGCCACCGTGGGCTTCCTCATATTTTTATCATGCTCCCCTGCAGTGGGCCTTAGGCTACCCCTTTCGAGATTTCCCCGCCACCTTTAACCATTTCAAAGTTGTATGTTCCCTTAATTCCCATGATAGAATCACGGGATTGATTATTACCATAAGACGTTATCCTTATTCCCGCATTATCACCGAGGGATTCAAATAACGGTTTAATAGCAAAATAATGATCGTAAAATTACGGTAATGTCACTTTCTGTCACCGTTATAAGATAAAAAACGGTTGAAAAATTCATTCACAACAAAAATAGAGAGTAACAGTTGCAAAATAACAACGTAATGAGTAATAACAGCAATAACGGATTGTTATTGCTACTATTCTATTTTTTTACTCACAGATATAATAGTTCAAGAAAAAAATAAAATTTTAAGTCTGCAAAATAAAACAATAAACCTGTAAAAGTAAAAGTAAAAGCTAAAGCAAAAAATAAAGCTCACAATCTTAGATCTTTATCATCAAAATAAATTAAAAAACGAGCTAAAAAACATATCAATTATTTCAAGTTTCAACCATTCAATTAATATTTTTGGCATTCAAATTCAAATCAGCCTCAAGTTTTTAATCAATATTCAAGATCAAATAAGGTAAGAAAAGAATGTTAAATTACATTTTTTTGTAAAATTTCTGTAAAATTATCCGTTGTGAGAGTTTGAAAGACGAATGAGGTATCCGTAGATACGAGGCAAGTTAGCAAGTGATAATGATAAAGGGATGCGAGAGAAAATGAGAGATGAAAAAAAAAAGAGATAAAAAGAAAATTCTAGAAAGTCAATGAAGGCAGCACGAAGAAGAAGATGAACAGAAAAGAGTATTAGCGTTTTTAGAAGGGTCTGTTGTTTGCTAGAAAGAATTAAACAAATTTGGAATATTAGGCACGTGAGGAGAGATTGGATGAAGTGGGGAGGGATTGGGTGTCATAAGGTGTTTGGAGGGTGGGATTGAATTTTTTTATTTAATTTTGAAATTAATTTTTGAAAATTTTTTAGATAAAATTTA